ACAGACTTGAGAAGAGTGGAAAACATGAGTGATACCCTTAACACAGAGATAAGGAATAACATAGCAGAGATAAAGGGCTCAATAAACGAAATGAGAAACATGCTTGATGGAATGAATAGCAGGATGGAAGAAGCAGAGAAATGAATTAGTAACCTAGAAGACAGAGTAATGGAAAGTAATCAAGCTGAACAAAAGAGAAAAAAAATTACACAAAACAAGAATAGACTTAGGGAACTTAGGGACTCTATTAATCAACATTTGTATTATAGGAGTCCCAGAAGAAGAGAGAGAAAAGGGGGCAGAAAATTTATTTAATGAAATAGTATCTGAAAACTTCCCTAATTTGGGGAAGGAAACCAATATCCAGAACCAGGAGGCACAGAGAACTCCAATCAAAATCAACAAAGCAGATGCACACCAAGACATATTGTAATTAAATTTGCAAAATATAGTGATAAAGAAAAAATCATAAAAGCAGCAAAACAAAAGAAGTTGGTAACTTACACGGGAAAGCCCAGAAGGTTAACAGGAGATTTTTCAGCAGAAACTTGGCAAGCCAGAAAAAAGTGGCATGATATTTTCAGTGTGCTGAATGGGAAAAATCTGCAGGCTATCATTCAGAGTAGAAGGAGAGATAAAGAGTTTCCCAGACAAAACAAAAAAAGGTTCCCAGACCCTTAAATTAGCTCTGCAAGAAATATAAAAGGGGATTCTTGGAGTAGAAAGGAGAGACCAAAAGTGACAGTATAAAGGTATGAAATACAAAAGCAGTAAAAATGAGTATTTCTGTAAAAAATCAGCCGGGGAACTCACACACACACAAAGGATATAAAATATACCTAACATATACCTAAAAACGTGGAGAGGGGAGGAGAAAAGAATGGGTTCAAACTTAAACAACCATCAACTTAATACAGACTGCCATATGTGGAAGAGGCTATATATAAACCTAATGGCAAGTTAAAAATAGAACTATCTTATGATCTAGCAATCACACTACAGGGTGTTTACCCAAGGAATACAAGAACACTAATTCAAAAAGATGCATGCACACCAATGTTTACAGCCTGTTATGTCCATCAATTGATGAACGGATAAAGAAGATGTGGCATATATATGCAATGGCATATTATTCAGCCATAGAGAGAATGAAATCTTGCCATCTGTGATGACACAGATGGAGCCAGAGAGAATAATGTTAAGCAAAATAAATCAGAGAAGACAAATACCATATGATTTCACTCATATGTGGAATTTAACAAAGAAAACAAAGAAGCAAAGGGAAAAAAAATAAGAGAGATTGAGACAAATCAAAAAACAGACTATTATAGAGAACAAACTGATGGTTACCAGAGGGGATGAAGGTGGGGGGATGGGTTAAATAGGTGATGGGCATTAAAGAATGCACTTGCTGTCATGAGCACTGTGTGGTGTATGGAAGTATTGAATAACTATATTACGCCTGAAACAATATCAGACTATATGTCAACTAACTGAATTAAAATTAAAACTGGAGGGGAAAAAATTCCTTTTTGGATTGTGCATTACATGTATATAGAAACACAACCTTTTATTACGTTCTTCTTTTTTTTTTTTAAGATTTTATTTATTTATTTGAGAGAGAGAGAATGAGAGATAGAGAGCATGAGAGGGAAGAGGGTCAGAGGGAGAAGCAGACTCCCTGCTGAGCAGGGAGCCCGATGCGGGACTCGATCCCGGGACTCCAGGATCCTGACCTGAGCCGAAGGCAGTCGCCTAACCAACTGAGCCACCCAGGCGCCCTTATTATGTTATTCTTGTACCCTTCAAGTTTGCTGAATTCATTTATTACATCTAGTCATTTTCTTGTGATTCTTTGGGATTTTCTATATAGAGAATCATGTCATCTGTGCATATAGTTTTACTTCTTCCTTTATCTAACTGCTCTGGCTAGAACTTACAGTACAGTACAGTGTTGAATAGCAGTGGTGAAACTGGGCACATTACATAATTTTTTAAAGAAAAAGTGAATGGCTTAATAATAATTCTGTAAGTGGCTATAGAGCCAAAGTCAGGAGACTCTGGCCACACAGTAAATATTTTATACTTTGTCGATTGAAAGGCAAAATTAGGTTTTAAAATTCATGTTCATGGAGAAGACATGACCTCATTCTCCTAAAAATCCTTCCTCTCTCAAAGACAGTGATCTTCCTTCTTCCTCAACTCGGGGCCTGAACTCATGACCCTGAGATCAAGACCTGAGCTGAAATCCAGAGTCGGATGTTTAACCGACTGAGCCACCCAGGCTTTAGTGTTGCTTTAAAATTGACAGGGGCACCTGGGTGGCTCAGTCAGTTAAGCATCTGCCTTCGGCTCAGGTCATGATCTCAGGGTCCTGGGATCGAGTCCTCCATCGGGCTCCCTGCTCAGCAGGGAGTCTGCTTCTCCCTCTCCCTCTGTACTCTCTCTCGCTGTCTCTCAAGTAAGTAAATAAATCTTTTTAAAAATAAATAAATGTAAATAAATAAAAATCTTATTTTTATTTATTTATTTTATATATTTTATGATAAAACTAAACTCAAGTGTCAAGGAATGCATCCTTAGGTGGAAAAATTACAAAGAAAAGCAAGAAAGCTATTACCATATAATAATTCAGGACAGTGACTTTGGGGGATGGAAGAGGATACTAATGTGAAAGCGGATTCAAAAGAGGTTTCTAGGGCTGGCAGTCTAATATTTCCTGACTTGGGTGGAGGTTACACAGGTGTTGGTGTGATAATTTACTAAGTTGTATAATTAAAATATTTATTTGTACACTAAAAAAATCAAATTCCCATAAATATTAACAAGTTCCAGCTTTTTATTATGTAAAAATGACTCCAATTCAAAATTGAAGCCAAAACCCCAGGATCTGTCAGATTCATTTAATTGTTCTGAAAACATACAAAAAATTACATTTAGCAATAAACTAAAAGAAAGAACATGGCTAATATATAAATTTAGAATTAATGCTATTCCTGCAAGTCAACACTCATCATAATGACTGTCTTAGTCAATAACAGAATACCACAGTCTGGCGGCTTATGAACAGAAATACCATAGACCTTAAGACTATAAGGAGGCCAAACAAACTCTATCAGGACCCTTATGTTTTCCAACTGGCTGGCTCACTCAGCTGTACTTAAAAAGTAACCGATGTAGTCCCATTCTGCTGAGCTAATACTTTTCATCTTATAAATCACTCATTCTCAAGAGCACCTAAAAATACAAGGCCCTGAGAACTAGAATTTTCACCCAACTTTACATCACTAAAGTGATATAAATAACCCTCCTTTACTGCCTTAAACACTTAAGCTTCTTAGTTTCATCCGCTTTTGACTAGAATATGAGACTTTGGGTACAGTGCCTACAATTTTTGGGGACCAGGAATATTAAATATTGTATGAATTTAATTATGTTGGAATTAAAATGAATTTAAAAAAATTTTAAAAAGTATACCAATAGGTGAATCACCTTAATTCTAAAGATATTACTCCCCTAACCAAATATTTTTCTAAATATTTGCTATGTGCCAAGCACTGTGTTAAATGCAGGGGATACAAAACAGTCCAAGATTGGCTCTACTCTCATCTCAAGGCGCTTTTGTAATATATTTGGGAAAATTACACCAAATAAAGTTCTTATCTTTACTGTATTGCAACTAACAAAAATATTAATGGCATTGGATTTCAATTATTTATTCCCAATAGACAGACTCTTCAGTGTCAGCAACTGTGTATGTATGCTACAGTTCATCTCTATATCCTCAGGACCTAACACGGCACCTAGCACACAGCATGTGATTAAAAAAAAAAAGTTTGTTAAATAGACAAAAAAATTAACACAAGGTAGCACATGACAAACAGAAAATAACAGACAATAAAAAAATACAGAGACCCAATACCATGTGAGACCTTACCTACTGAAATAAACTGTTTCCCTACTGTCCATCCTTCCACCCACTCTCCTTCACCCAGCCTGCAGTCAATGATTCATTCACTCATTTAATAATCTGATACACACAAAGCACTTACTGCATACTAGGCACTGGATTGAGTACCACTGATACAAAAATTAATAAAAATCATATTCCCTTTATTAAAGGAGCCTATAACCTAGCAGGAGACACAAACATATAAAGAATAATGCTTTAAGTGCTGAAACAGAGGTCTGAACAAATTGTTACAACGGCGTAGTTGAAGAAGCACCTCAACCTGCAGGGATCAGGGTCAAAAAAGGATTTCACTGAGAAACTGACCCTCAGGGAGTAACACCTGAAAGACTTGAGAAGGAGGAGAGAGAACAGTAAGCGCCAAGGCATAGTGTGATGAAGAATTTCAAGTGTTACTGTGTGGTTACAATCACATAGTAAACAAGGAGAGAGGGAAGATAATGGTCAGGTTTTGAAAACCTTTAAATCCCACCCTCTTGGGAGAGGTTCTGAGGGCGAAGAGGAATGCCAAAAGATTTTAAACCAGAAAATTGATCATGGTTTTGGAAAACACTGAAAGGATGGCGTGGACACTGGACTATGAAGAGAAGCACGATTTCAGAGTCACTCCTTTCCAGCACAAAGCAGTAGCCCCAATCAGGTATCTAAACATTGATGACCATGACAAATCCTTCACCAACTGTCTGCACCCTTGACACTCACACACCGCAACCTAAACTGCTTCATCTCTCCGGGCCACACAACCCTTTCAAACTTCTTGAAACGTACCCTCACAGCCACAGCCCAAAAGTCCGTTCAGGAACGTCAATGCACTGCTCCCATGATTCGCACGCTTGCGTCGGCTCTGGCTGTCACGTTCCTTTCCCCCCGCCTACGTCGTGTGTCTGCACAAGCTGGTCTTTTCCAGCTCGTGAAATCTGGGAGGGCTTTGCGTCTTCGCGCCGCAACCCTCCACAGAAGTCCCATCACTCCCCGCTTCTCCACTTCAAGCCCTGCAGGCCCAGCCTCGCCTCCCCCGGCGCACACGTACCCCCTCGGTCTTCATGTCCAGGATCTTTTCCACCTCAAACACATCCTCTCCGTCCTCCTCGCTGTCTCCAACTGCCTCCGCTCCTTTCGTGGCTGCGTCCTTCTCTTCGCCCACTGCTCCAACACCTTCTCCTTCGACTTCAGGAGACTCACCATTGCTGTCGGCACCTGAAACAGGAACTGCACTCATGCTCGCTCCCTCGGCAACGGCCGCCGCCGCAGCCATAATAGGAACCCAGCTAACCGCCGAGGAAGAGCTGCTGCGACACACACCCCGGTGGTTCCTCGCGCTCCGCACTTGGCCCTAATCCACTCTGGCAGCGTGACGCTGCGAGGGAAACCAGCCAATGGCGGACTTGGGACCCTGGAGCGACACACACTGAAACCAATCACATCGAGGCGGGCGCGCTGGAGCCCCGCGGAGCCTACGGGAAGCGGGTGGGCGGGCCGAGGGGGGTCGCCCCGGCGGAAGGGCGGGGCGGATGGGGCAGTGAGAGAGGATCGGTAGGTGGGCGTTGGTACTCGGGAGGGGAGCGGAAAGGCTGTTTGGGAGCCCCTAGGGGGTGGGGCGGGAACGGCGTGGGGGGGGGCGGGGAGGGGCTTGTCAGGGCGCGGGGGAGAAAGGAGTGAGGCTGACATGGACCCTCGGAGAGGTTGGGGCTCCAGCGCTGAGTGGGGAACAGGCGGCGGAGGCTGGCTCGGAAGCTTCCCGTGTTGGGAAGGGGCGGCCGGGGAATACCATAGCGCGGGAGTCAGACTGGAAGAGAAGCTCAAGCGCCTGAGGGGACCAAACGCTGCGCGGGGTCTCTTCCCTCTTCCAGTTGCTCCTGACGGTGTCGACAGGGGCCTTCCTAGGAAAGCAGCCCCTACCTTCTGCCCAGACCTGAGCGGGTCAGGACGGAATGCCGGGCCATTCGTGCATGTGTAATTTTGATTCGTTTAACGCGTGTGAACGGTAGAATCAAACATAACTCATAGTGCTTTTATATCTCAGTATTGTTTAAAGTTAGGAAAAATTTTTTTTAAGTAACAGGCCCAAAACAATTGTTTTCCAAGTTCTTGGGATATTTTTTCCGCATTGAAAATATCAGAGGACGCGATAAAAGTATTTTGTCCAGGATTGACAAAGATAGGTCACCCGAAGTTGCTAGGATAATCCACTTAAGGGTAAAATATTTTTCTCACTTTGAATTGCAAATAAAATCTTTATGGTAGTGAACTTTTAATTTTTTAAAAGATTTTATTTATTTATTAGAGAGAGCGAGAGAGAGCATGAGTGGGGAGAGGGATCCCAGGACTCTGGGATCATGACCTAGGCCGAAGGCAGCAGCTTAATCGACTGCGCCACCCAGGCGCCCCCACGAACTTTTAATTTTTTTAATTTCTTTTAAAGTTTTATTTATTTAAGTAATCTCTACACCCAACATGGGGCTCAAACTCACAAACTGAAGATCAAGAGTTTCAAGCTCTTCTCACTGAGCCAGCCAGATGCCCCAAAGAGCTTTTTATTTTTGTTTCTTTGAATGGTGGACTTAATTTGTAAGATTAACTCTTTCAGATGAACTCTGAGGTTAACTAAAGAATCATCTATGATCCTGCAGATCCATTTGGATGATATAGGAAAGATGTTAGGGTTCAAAGCCTATGGCCAAGAAAGAATTTTTGAGACATCTTTGGTGCAAAAAGGTGGTTTTATTAAAGCATGGGGACAGGACCTGTGGGGCTCGAGAGCTGCGCTGGGGTCATTATATGCTTTCAAGTTGGGAGGGGGTTGAGGATAGCTTAAGTTTCTAAGGAATATGGAAGCAGGGTTTCCGGGACCTTGAGGGGGCTAGCAATTGTTGAGAAATGTCATTTATTATGAGATCCTTCAGATGTGTATCCGTGGGTCATATGCTTGGGGGATGAGTGCCAACATATATCTTGCAGGGGTAGAGATGAAGTTTCCAAAGGAATTTTTGTATGTTAAAGTAGACTTAAAGGATCCTGGAGGGTCAGGCTAAGATTGCCTTTTGCCCTTAGGAGAGTATCAACATCAAGGCAGGTGAGTCCCTAAAGGAATGTCACTCTGCCTGTTTCAAGGACTTGTCTGTCAATGGGCTGTAAGTAGTAGGAAATTTAATAATTTTTTTTCTGCCTTTGTTTCCCATATCATGAAGAGGCTCATCAGATCTTGAGTGGGCTCATTGATTTATTATTTATTTAGCTTACTAAATGCATCCTGTGCATGACTATACTAAGCATTACAAAGAGCATATACAAAGAGCAATAGAGCATGGTATTAAAATTCAGCTGACTAAATTGGAAGATCTTACTGGTTTTATTCAACGACTGGGGCAGCATCCCATCTAGCAAACAGAAAGGAGCTCCAAAGAAATGCAGAAAAGGACAGGCTTTTCATGACAGAAAGGGGGAGGGCAAGGAAGTCATAAACAAAAGAAAGGATTATTTCAGGCAAATTCACTGTCCTTTGGGGGAAGGCTGGGGTCTATCAAGAGGATTACCTCACCAGTACTACCAGGAAATTCCAGACTACTGGTGGAGATTATATTCCTAGAAGAGCCTGAAACTGCAGTTCGGTTGGGTGTCAAGTCTTGTTTTGCTAATGTGGGGGTTGACACAGATAACTACATTTTGGGCCCGTTGTCTCTTTCTTAACAGTCTCTCTGCCCTGCACAGACTCTTAGTCTATAAAGGAAGACACACAACAATTCTAATAATTAGATATCTTTTTAAAGTAAGTTTTTAAAAATGCTGTAATCAAATAACATTAGTTGATGGGGAAAGCTTATTTTTTTTCAGAAGAATTTCAGTTAACAAGCGTAGAAGAAAACATAGAGAATCACAATATTTCATGAAATGATTCAGGCAACTGTTAGGTGAAAGATTGTTGAGGAACTGGCTGCCACAGTATCTCTTCAGACTATTTGTTGGTTGTAGGAGAAACAGAACTTCACATTGGAAAATGCACTGATCAATGTTAGCATTACTAAAAGTAGAACAACCAAACTATATGACTCCTATTGATAAAAATACTGATCCTTAATCTATTCAGGGCCTTAGATCAAATTTCCAGTTTACAAGAAATATGGGAAAGAAAACATGGAAACAATCGGACAAATCCAGAATGTGGGACATACTATAGGACAATTGGCCTTGTTTCTTTAACAAGTCAATAGCAAAAGAAGAGGGAAGAAAAGACGGTTCTAAATTTATAAAAACTTGGCAAAATATTTTAAATGATGGAATTTATGTTCATTATATTATTTTCTCTACTTTTATATATTTTTGAGATAAAAAATTTATGTTCACTGTAAAAATTTTTACAATGAATATATAAGATAGAAATAATATAAGATATATAATAGAAGAATATAAGATAGAAATAAAGTTCCTGTTCCTCAAAGGTAGCCAGTTTGGAATATGACATGACAGACTTTTATCTCATACATGTATAAACACCCATTTATATAATTTTTAAATGAGCTTTATTCCACATTGTTCTGCAACTGTAATATATATATGCATACACACACACACACATATATATGCATATATAACATATGCGTGTGTGTGTGTGTCCATATCTTGGCAAGATGAATTTCTAGAAGTGGAATTCCTATTAGTGAAATTTATAGGTCAAGGAGGGTAGTGATTTAAATTTGGATAAATACTGCAAAACTTTGTTTTACTTGTATATGTTTCTAGTAACAACATAAGGAAGTCTGTTTACCTTCACACACTCTGCTACTAGGTATTATCAATCTTTTATTCCTTAATCTGATAAAACAAGAAAAGAGTTATCTTGATGATTATGTCAAGCAAACAAGCAGACAAGGCCAAGGGCAAGACCTGATTGATTTAGCCATAAAGACATAACAAGCCATTTTAGATTTAGATGGCTTATTACTTGTATAAACAGCAAGAGGAAGAGTAGTCAAAGATGCCAGCTCCCCTTGGTCCTTGTCCCACACTCCAAGAAGAGCTAGATAATTGCAGTGTGAGTTGTGGGACACATCACTGCCAAGGAGCTAATTCTAGATGCAGCTAGGAGGAATTTTAGTCTGAAGCTGTATTCTGAGCTTCATATCACCTCAGAACTGGGAGGTGATGGGAAGTAGTCTTATGTCTGCCTCTCAGGGAGATAGAGAGGTGGATGGGAGAGGGCCTCATGGTAGCTCCTCACAAGTTTCCCATCCTTTGAGTATCACAAAACATTCTGCCAAGATATAGCTATAGTTCAGGTCCAGGGAATTAGGAAGGGTCACACATCAGGATAATGGAAGTCACTCAAGATGAAGGCAGGACTGGCAATAGAAAGGGAAATCCTGAAGCTTATGTGAATGAGGGTAGGTACTGGGCATTTGGCAAGTCACAGCAATAAGGACAGGTTGGAGGATAGCTAAAAGACTGAATCTCAAAGAAACCTGATATGATGAGCACTGGGCGTTATACACAACTAATGAATCATTGAACACTACATCAAAAACTAATGATGTACTATATGTTCGCTAATTGAATTTAAATTAAAAAAACAAGAAAACAAAAACAAACCAGGGTTTTTACATAAAGGTAGAGAGGTAATGGCCTGGAAGTGATAGTGTGGAGGAAGGTGGACAGTGACCTTACAGCTTTCATAAAAAATAACTCAAAATGGATCATAGACCAAAATGTAAAATGCAAAATTCATAAAACTTCTATAGGATAACGTAGGAAGAAATCTAGATGACTTCAGGATTTTAGAGGCAACACCAAAAGCAAGATCCATGAAAGAATTGCTTGGGATACCTAGTTTCTCTAAGTGACAAAAAGATGTATCAAGGGATCTATAGACTAGGAACCACATGCATATTGAGGGCAAAGGTCTGGATACTCAGGGCCCTGGAAACAGGATTGCACGCCAGGAACAGCTTACTAAGTCCAGCTGGGCCAGTTCTCTACTAGAGTCCTTAAAGGGGAGAAGGGAATGAGGCTCCAGGACTAGCCAGATGTGTCATCACCTTAAAATATTTAAACACAAATCTGTAATATTGTAATATTTTGTTATCACTTGTTAGTTCATTAAAATAATCAAGTGTGTTTCTCATTATTTTAAAGTGAGTGCTACACTGAATAAAATCATAATTAAACTTCATTATAGGTATCTATTGATACCTGATTATTTTATACATGGAAGCATGTATGATGTTTAAAATACAACTTCAGATGATTCAGCTTTGACTATAATTAAGAACTCTGTGAAGAGGAGATGTGGTGTTTATGGTTTGGATCCCCAATAGCTGTTTAGTGGCAGAATCCC